CCTGTGCACTCAGCAGGAAGAGGGGCCTGGATTAACATGAGTTCTCCTGATCCTGATGGATATCCTGAACTATTCCTCCTAGAGTTATCAGCCCAGTCATGAATACATCAATAAACTGAACCAGATGCACGCTATTTTTACTCATAAACTGCCAACGGTGAGCCTGCCCTGCGGAGAGAGCTCTTGCGTGGTAGTCTTTCAGCAGGATACTTCTAATTGGACTCATATCTCACAGATCATTTATGTCTTGGGTGACTGGCATTTAGAGACATGCACATGTTTCTCATTGTATTTGTCTAGAATTAATCTAAGAGAGAACAATGTGCACATTTGATGAGGGAATGAAACCAGACCTAACCAGAGTTTGGTGATTTCATGTAAAATTTGTCTTTTATTTCGACCTTAGATCCAAAACACTCTTGATTCATAAACAGCTCATAAAGTTTTAAATGTGATATATATATATATATATATACTCTATAGGTTTTTTTTCCCTCCAGTACAATATACAGGTTCCTACATCTATTGAGAATTAAGTTGAAAAATGAAAAGAAATATTCTTACCTTATTACATCTACACAATGGAATAGCCGAGCAATGCTGTCCTACGAGTGTGTATTTACAATTAAAATCATCATTTTATTATTCTGTTTTTATTTAAATGAATTCATTTAAAATCCACCAAAAAACTGAATATGGAAACCAGTTATATAATATTCAGTGCTAAACAAATGATGCAGACAGTAGCCATGTTTCTATCCAAAGATTCAAACTGAAAATACAGGAAATAAACTGTGAATATTTGCGAATAAAGCACCGTTTCCAACCAACGAGTCCAAGAGAACAAAATCATTACTTCTTGGTAAACTGTTGCCAAATTTCAAAAGGAAAATGTAAGTCGCTGCGTTAGGAAGAGGCCTTTTTTTCGTATATAACGTAATTGTGTCTTAGAACACAGAGATGTAAAGCAATATGTGGAGTCATGTGATCTTGTTTTTGGAGGCGGGAGATGCTCTATGGGAATACGAATGAGGTGATGACCTCGAACCACTTTGATGACAGAATTTGTATTGTGCAATGAAATCGGCTTTTTGGTTAGTCCATTAATGCCGCCCCTCACAGAGTATATCTGTCGTGTGCATAATTTTTATGGGCATTTTTAATATATATATGGGTTTTTATTATGCAATATTCCAAAATGTGCATAAAAAGGTGGATGGAAATGCAGCTAGTGTCAATCAGCCCAATCAGTGATTTGCAGCTATTAAAATAGTCACACTTCAGCCTTAGTTACGGAATCTGGCCTGCCTGAAGAAGAGTCATGCCAAGGGTAAAGAGCTCCCAGGTTGCCCTCAAGACAAATGGTCTAACGGTGGCAGGGTTTCCTGGCTGGAGGCGCAGGATCCCGGCATCTGGACTCCTCTGCAACCCCTGGGGCACCAAGCTCAATGGGTTACATGTCGACCCTTGCTGGAATGTGAGCAGCCCAACATTCAATATTTTTAACCAACTATTAAAACTTAGTATAACAAATTATCATTGGAAAAATATTGAATTTATAAAAAGTTCTGAGGCCACGGAGTTAAGAAGGCTAGGAACTAGTTTGATTTGTATGAGAGCATTTGATACCACCCATCCACTAGGGGGCGGTGTTAAAGTCTGCATTGTCATCTTTTTTAACTCTAAGAGATGGAGAAAGCAAATTTTATAATCTTTTTTGTTTAAAATGTGAGTAAAGTTTACTGTCTCCTAGTAAATATTACTTTAAACAAGAAGACAAGGTAAAGAAGTTTCAGAAGTAACTAGAATCACAATGACTCGAAGCAAATACACTTCAGCTCCTAGTCGATATCTTTAGGATGCTGCTGAAACTGAGAAATTTCGCCCAGGGATAAATGATGTCTGGGGTCACGGGGGTCTGCCAGTGCCTATCTCCAGGCAGGGGTACACCCTGGTCAAATCGCCAGTCCATCGCAGAGCCTTTGACTCCATTTATATTATTCAACTTTCAACATAAAAAATTGTCAATGTATTGTTTAACCAAGTGTTTTAACCGAAAAAAAAAACACTGCGAAAAGTGAATCTACCAAACTGTTGATAAACATGACAAAATACTTTTCTGCCAGATTCTCTCACACACAACTAAAGCCTACAGACTTGATGGTTTATATATTTTTCTAACATGTAGAAAGGTCATTACCCAGATTAATTTGGGAGGATAAAAGCTTTCCACAAATACATATGCAAACTCAGGAAAAAGTTACACGTGTGGGCACAAGGTTGAAGGCCATCTCATTTGTCAATCAGAATATAAAATCTCATGAAGTCAACTCAGCATGAGACGATACCTGAAACTTCTGGCAGAGGAATCAAAGACGATCCATAAACGCCTCCAGCACATGTCATCTCAAGAATCGGATTCGCTGACGTCTGTAAGCCAAAATGATCAGTGGTATCGCTGGCGTCTGAATCTTCTAAATGTACTATATCATGCTACACAACCGAGATTGAATACATAACAGAACTACTAACTTATTAAAGCAAATTTAGTTATTATTTTGTTCATAACCAACACAAGCAGAAAATATTCTAAAATGACGGATTCTTGTTGATATTTAGAGACTGTTTTAGAAAGTGGCAAGGTTTAAAAGGTGTTTATTCAAATGTATTTCTATTAGCCTTGTGTTATTAGAAGAATTTACAAGATCAGGGTGTGAAGCTCTTTTTATTTACTTTATTCAAACCACACGCACACACACCACAATCACTGTGTGGCATCATGTCGCTGAGCTGCATCGGGACACATCACCTCATCTACATCGCAGGCTACATTGTCTTTTGCCAGGCAATGTGGGAAAAATGACGAATGCAACCTTGGAAGGTTTCCACTGGGATGTCAACACAGGCCGGCACCATTGCCCTAAGGTAGTTCTTTCTAGAGTATGGTTGTCTGTCATAAACCTTCCATTTCCACAATGGTTCAGGAAAGGGGATTCCGGTGGCAGGGAAGTTACAGTTGGTGGTGAACCTCTTCCTGATTTGGTTTGTTCTGTGAAAGCGGACATTGCCCCAAATAATCTATAAAAATGTTATGTGCGGGACCAGGATGGTGATGTTGGCAGTCCAGGAGGATGTCTCTTTGCTCCTCTAGGAAGGTGAGGAGACGTTCGACAAGCCCCTCTGAACCCATTACTGCACAAAGAGTAAAACAACCCCCCAAATAGGGGGACGATGTGATATTTAAAAATGTCTTCAAGAGCTATAAAAATTACACTCAGCTGAGAGCGGGGACTGTCGTAATGTGGGATACCAAGGGTCAAAGGAACTGGACTTGGGTCGAGGCAAGGAGGAATTTCAGGTTTTTTTATTGTGCTACCAGTGGGATAAACGAAAACAACAACCAAACATAAATATTTACAAAACAAAACACTGTTGCTAAAAAAGAAAAATTTGCTCAGCAGCAAAAACCTCTCTGCTAAACTGGGTCAGCTAAGCTTGCTTTAGAATTTGCAGAGGAGGGTCCAACAACAAAATGAGGAGAAGTCTATAAGCTCTAATCAGAGCTAAGAGTCACCAGGTTCCTTCCATGTATATGGGTGACCTCACACTTTTCCAGGGAGTCAAAACCAGTCTGGTGTCTCCCTCTCTCCCCTCCAGACTGAATGAACTTGAGCTCTTTTATTGGAGAGCTCAAAAATGGGTCGAACCATCAGCAGGTGAGTATGTTAACCCAAGAAAACCTTAAACAAAAATGAAACTCAAATTTATACCATATGTTTTACGTCAACATTGACAAACAACAATTACTCATTTAGGCACAACAACAATTGACATAAACTAAATTATATTCCTGTCTCTTTTACAGAGAATTTTAATAACTCCCCCTGTTGGAATGGGAAAATGGAAGACTCCGGTCATGAGACCCTGAGTCACCTGATTACCTGTTTAACTCAGCTTGTACCACTTAACATTAATCAGTATTTAAAAAATTGTGATGAGTAGACCCTGCTCCATCACAGGGACACATGTTGCGCAAGTTGCTTTTAACATCTGCAATCTTAGGAAATTGACTTAAGTTGTTTTTTACAAGCTCCTTGGAGGCAGGCATCAACTTTTTGAACTTGATTTGAAATTAATAACCCCTTTCATGCTTAAATTCCGTTAAAATCATAACAAAAACGTTTGTAATAAATTATTTAATGCTTAATGTCAGAATGAGCTTGTTTTCTAAAGATTACATTCGTACATGAATGACATCATTGGGAATGATCTGTTTGTGTTGGTCCAAGCTGCTGTTTTGATGGTCATGACTGTGAAGGAACCTGCTGGAAACACTGAACAGACGTCACTGGCGGCTCCTCTCGGGGATTTCTCGACATCACAAAGCAGAGGAGTTCGAGAAAAGGAGATAATGTTGAGGCATTTGTTAACATTTGTGTTTGAGTTTAATGTTGATCTGTTCCTTTCTGTGTGCAAGGCTGGATATGAAAAAGCTGGTGTTGGCCACACAAGAAAGAAAACAAAACGACTGTATTTTTCCGATTCTAGATTTTCAACTATTCAACAAGAAAAGTAATCACTTGATTCATTTTGTATCTTTTTCACAGACTAATAATTGCTCAGCATTAACATCAAGATCTATCAAGACAAAAATACTTCTCTGAATGAAAATAAGCATTTGACCCTTATAAAGAATTCAGGCTCTCATTGAGCTTTTATAGCAAGCATACAATACCGTAGAAATTTTTTTGACTTAACATCTATACATTGATTTCTGTCTGCTGAAGACTGCAACCTGAAATATTAACTTTATTTTCAACAATAAAAGGGTTCATGTTTCACTAGCTGCGTTTCCATTCGCCTTTGGACATTTTGGAATATCGGATTAAAAAAAAAAACATGGTAATACCAAAATGCGCACACTTTTTACATTTGGCAGACGCTTTTTTTCAAAGTGACTTACATATAAAATGAAGAAACACATTTTTTTTCTCAGTTATTGCTTTCCCTAGGAGTTGAACCCACAACCTTCGCGTTGTTGGCGCAATGCTCTACCAACAGAGCCACAGGAAAGCATATTTTGAAAATGAGTAGAATAAACTTTTTGAGGGATGGCAATAATGGACTAACCAATTCGATTTCATTGAACAACATCTGAAATGTTGTTTTGGTCATTCTAAAATTTCCAAAGTCTGTCATCAAAGTGGTTAGGGATCATCTTCTCCCAGAACTTTCTTGACCGGCTCAGAACCAAACAAAATGAATTTATTGTCCAACCAAGGCAGGGCAAAAATTAGAACTGAACCACTGGCTCTCAAGCTTAAAACAAACAGAGGTAATCAAAAAGAGCTGGCTCTAGAGACGTAGAGGAGAGGACCATGGTGAGCCTGGCGGTCTTCAACAACCACCGAGCATGAGAGGTAGAGATAGTCCCAAGGAGCGAATAGAACTAAATGGCAGCTCCTGACAAGACTCACCTAGACTTGGCCGGGCTGGACATAAGAGGTAAGGGGTAGGCAAAGGTTAAAAGGTAGGCGAGCGATTAAGAAAGAACTAATGGTAGACTGATAGCTGAAGTGAATGAGAAATTAAAGAATACACACGAAGACCTAACATCTCCCAGGAGTAATATGTACTGGTAGTGATCCGACTCAGACAGAGCCACGTGAAGAAACCACGCGTGATTTTGCAACGAGATGTTGTGGCCAAGATGGCGGCTCATATAACACTCACCCAAACCCTAAAACAGAAGAAGCACATGTGAAAGGTGCACATGATTTTCAAAGACGCCTCAGAATTAGTGGTTTTGACAACTTCCTGTTACCTTACTATAGCGTGTTTAGAGTCGTGTTGTATTCTGGTTGTTTTTAGTTAAAGTAGATATCTCAGTGTGATTTCGATCTCAGTGTATCAGCTTCATGTTATGCCTCTATTATACCAACTTTAAGTTTCACCCCTTCCAGTTACGTGTCCGTCTTGAGCTCTGCAGACAGATACTATTGGTTCTAAGACGCAAGGACGTTAATATGTACAAAGCAAGGCCTTCTCCTGACACAGCAACTTTATTTTTCTTTAGATATTTGGCACCAGTTTATCAAGAAGTAACGATTTTGTTCTCTTGGGCTCATTCGATGGAAATGGTTTTTTATTCGCAAATATTTTATGGGGTATTCCCAAATTTAATTTGCATCTTTGCATGGAAACATGCAACTGTTAAATTCATGTACTGATCGTGGGAAATCGTTCGCTATCAGAAGGGGTTGATCACTTTTTCCCTCTTTGTATATAGTTTTATACACTTTTGTCAGAAATTGTAAGATAGAAATGTTTTGTGGTAATCCTGAGTTAATTATCTCATGATCTCAAAAAGGTTTTAACCATTTTTTGTTACAATTATTGAATTATATACAATTTGAAACATTAAAAATGTACCAATATAACAACATTGTTGTGATTTTGTTATGCCAAAATCAAAAGGAAAAACATGTATGTCAATAGGTCTTTAGACTTCAGTAAAAATTACAGTTAAAGGTGAAATATTTGTGATGTCTAACATTTCTAACATGGAGCTCTCATGGATTCCAGTACTTGTTTTACACTGAAAGAAAATGACATCACTAGACCCAGAAAGGGCTGCATTTGACTTGAACAAATAACTATCTCATGACAAATTTGGCAAAATGAAACTATTTTCACGTGGTTTGTTAATATCTCCCATATGAATGAGGTAATTGAAGTCCAGTGTTGTTTTGTAAAGAGAAAAGTGCTTTAAAGTGGTTCAGTTCTGTGAAGATATGGCTTCATACAGGAGGATTACAGTAAAAGCTCCACATATAGAGAAATATGCTCCCATAAAGATGCCCTATAAAGCTGTTTGGTCCGATTTCCACTAAACTTTGGAGCTTTCAGGAAGTTGTTAAACAGAGATGCACAAAGAGAACCTGGTCCGAGTGAGCCCTGATGTAATGCAAGGTAGCAGCTGAGGTCATTTTAAAAGAAATCCATGCAAATCTGAAGTTACTTAAGAAGAAAGTATACAGAGAAGAAAAGTCGTAAACATATTTTAGCTTCATAAATCGACTTTATAGGGTTTGGTGGGGCAAAACCAAAACAGCTCTAATCCATAGATAAAAAAAACCTTAATGTCAAATCTGTTTACCCATCTGTATTTCAAACCTTTGAATCTGTCAGTCTACAACAACAAGATATAGATATAAAAGTGAAGTTTTAATTTGATCTTGTGTCCAATATAGATTTTTTTAATAGTTAATACATTTGTTCATTGTTCAGCAAGTGTGTCATTTTTGAGGTCTAAATAATCCAAGATTAATGTCATGAAACAAAATATTGTTTTTATCCATCTATTATATGCAAAAAATATTACGAATAGCATTGTTTCAACCAACAGAATCCTTCGGACCATGTGACTGATTGTATATCTGACTCATCTGGACTCTGGGTGAGTTTTGTTGTGGCCAGCAGTAAATAATGAAATGATGTAAGTTTATAGTAGACACTAGACTGTTGAATCAGGATGTGAGAATGAAAACAAAAGATAGAGGTCTTTGACCCCTCCATGCCAAAGGTTAAGTGTAGTTATATCAATATCTGCTACATCCTGCTGCAAATCCTGAAAAACAGGCAATCTGAGGTCAAATGCACACCATTCCATTTTTTACCGGCACAGATTTAATAAAACTGTCTGAAACGACACGCTGTCAGTGAATTATTTATACAGTTTTGAAAACAGAGCCCACTCTTTCAGATCCCTTCACAGAATTAACACAATGAAGTAACACAACACCTCAGATATTTGGCTAAATTGACAACTTTTAGCAAATCTACAGTTGTGCAGACTACTGAAAATATTTATTTCTTTTCATTTACTCAAATTAGTCAATAAAAAACATTTACAGAAAACATTCTGGAAACAATTTGCAGTTTTTCATAATTAAAACAAAACAAACAAAAAAATTGGATTTGATGGCAACCATTCTGCAGCCAGCACCATGGCACTCGCCGCGCTTTGACTTCACTCCGCCAGCCATGAGAGACACATTTGGTGTCAACACATAGTGAGAAAGATCATTTACACTGCCAACGATTAAACTAAGAGTAGTAACTCTCAAAATCCTCTTTATAATAGATAAAAATACGTTGACTATAACCGAGGTCCGTGCACCATTTGGTTCGGTAAAAAACCGTGTATTGTGGCACATATAAATGCCTAAATTTGCCAGAAGAGTCGATTCGTTTTGTCAATGATAACAGTTGATTTTGCTCTTGAATTTAAGAAAAGTTTGGTAGAGTTTTGCTATAAGTGTATTACAGAATTGTTAAGAAATTTCAAAGTTGAAAGCTATGGTTACACTGTGTTTTAAGTTAAGGTCAATATTACAGAAAATACACGGACACAAAAAATACAGTAAAAAAATCTATTGGAGTATGAAAAATAACTGTGTTTGAATAAAAATGCTGTAAAATCTATTACGGTGAAAAATCTACAAGAGTTTTTTTGAAACTCTGCCTCTTCTTCTCGATGGAGCCACCAAGCCTCATCCACATCACATTCAGGATCCGCTCTTGCCTTGCACCTAGGGAAAAATATTCTTGCATGACTTATCCAACATTGACATTCCTCCTCACCAGCTTCCTGTGCAGCAACCTCCCCATTGCACATAGACAACCCTCTCCTCTCCTCTCTCATCTGCCATGGACCTCCTCCATCCATGCTGGCAAAGAACACCACAGACCTGGCAACCTTTTTTATAAGACCTTCAGACTGATGTGTAATTTAGGATTTTTGTGAAGGATCATAAAACAAGTGCTTGAGGGATTTCATACTGATCTAGGTAGTTGGCAACAGATGGTTTCTGTTTGGTTGCCATAGCTAAAATAATGGCCTATTGACTGCTTGAATGATATCCGTGTAATATGTTTTGCAAAAGGGTCGTGGAAATGTTTCTACCCAATGAGAAAGAGTGAACACTTCTGCTCTGCTGTTTTGTCCCATCCCTAGAAAATGTAAAAAAAAAATAATTATTATCTGATACTATTTTTTCATACATTCCCTTTTGAGGTCACAGGGCAACATTCACCCACAGTGCTACACACTGCACCACCATGCCGTGTCTCCTGTTTTTTTCCTTTATGTTAATTTAATACGATAGATGCACTTTCGATTTTCCAGCTGCTAATACATCTTTAAACAAACCACTTCATTTATTATCGATTTGTCAGCTGTATTTGCAATTTTGGAGGCAGGACCATCAACTGGAGAGCTTACCCAGTGTCCTGTCAGATGTGGGATGTGTTTGACGATGCCGGGTGTGTCTTGCCTTGAGCTGACCCTGTCTATCCCCTCAGTGACGTTCTTTCTTTTCCTGCCATTGTGCATTTGCTGAGGAGAAAGGTTCTAAAAGTGGCTTTTTGTTTGGAAGTTTACTCAACAGTCTAGCTTCCTTTCATTGCCCATGCCATTCCTCACTTATACACTTTTAAATACATATTTAAAATTAGTCGACCAAACAGGAACCAGTGCGGATGAAAACTGGATGCTTAGAGTGGGTGGACATCTTCCTCCTCTGCTTTATTTTTACCCTGTGAGGGATAAGGTTTCATAATCTCACATTCCAGGTGTGGAAGTCATGGTAGATGTTCTCATCATGTAATGTGACCTTTCCACTAAATGCTCTATAAAAGCTCTCGCGGGAACTGCCCACCGTCATATATAACATGATGTAATGTTTGCATTGGCAGTGATACATAATGAACTTGCAGTTCTTGATTTCAGTAACAAACTCTGATCTGAAATGAGCTGTATTCAGTTTAACATTGAGGATGTCTTCTTTGAACAATTATAATGTAACACTCACCAAAATAGTCGTAAGGCTATATCTCAATATATCAACACCAAACTTGGCGGATGTTATAATTTCCATCAGCTGAGGTTGCCTACTGAGTTTCAGCATACTGCCCCCGTTGGCGTCAGGAGATACAAAAATAGGCTTATAATATCTATATCTGTTCATGGTGAGGTCATAAAATCTCAATTCATTCTGACCATCATGCAGAG